CGATTCTCTCGCTACCAACCCGCCCGAAAATCCTATGGAAATTGATGCTCGTTCTACAGATAGACAACATTCTTCACCTGAGTCTCATCCCAATACAATTTTTATTTCAGAAGACAAAAACTTCTACACTTATCCTAAGCGAATAGAATTTATCTTAGGTTTCCGTAATAGTTGCAGATATCTTGACGAAGAACGATTCGAAGTTAATATCACTGATCCCAATCAAGAATCCTTTATTATCGATTTTATTAAATCCAAATGTAAACCCACATTCCGATATGGAATCTGGTATCAGGAACTATTCTTCTTGTCCCTACTTAGTCGAATTCTAAAGAATAATTTTTCTACAGCCCAGATTAAATTCGAGAAAGCCACATTCAAACCTGAATACATTTCTAAAAACGATTACGTCGACAAAGTTTCTCTTCATCATTCTCAAAATCATAATGGTATAAATGAAACATACCAGCATTTCCGAAAACTCATTTACACTCCCAAGAGTAAAAAGATATTTATTAATAAATGCGAAACCTGCATTCGAAATAAATACGAAAGACATCCTATTACTCAGCCCATTCAAGGCCCATTTTTCAGTATTGCTTCATTTCAACTTGTATTCATTGATGTTTTCACTGTCGAAAAAACTAAATACCTAACCTTCTTTGATCACTTTTCCAAATATGCTCAAGCCTATTACTTACCTTCAAAAAATCATGTTGATATCCTTAATAAAATAAAACATCACTTTTCCCATCATGGATTTCCTAAAGTTATTCATGCCGACCCTGGCGAATTACGCTCCAATATCATTAAAGAATATTGCCAAAATCATAATATTGAACTTCACATCGGAAGCACTGCAAATCCCACTAGCATTTCTCCCATTGAACGTTTTTACTCCACCTTAGGTGAAAAATTCAGATCCTTAAGATTAGAACGTCCTACTGACCCAGTAAACGACATTATTTTAGATTCTATATTGATCTATAATCAATCTATTCATTCCCAAACAAAATTGACCCCTTTCGACTTGTTATATGGTCACCGTGAACCTCTTCAGACTTATGAAGAATTTCAAAAACAACAATCCGAAAGACGAAAAGAATTAGCTGACAAAATTTACAATAAGACTTTGCAAACAACTGTTAAGCGCAACGAGAGCTCCAAAATCCCTGTATTAAAAGGCCCTATTTACATGACCCCCCATGACGCTACTAGACGTCCAAAGAATTTACCCACGAAACCTAGCAAGCAAAATGGAACCCAAATTCAGATAAAACATCGGAAACATACTTGTATGATTAAAAAGATTAAACCACCTCGCATTGTTTCAGATGTGTGACGATCACCATAGCTGTCCACATAGCCTCGGAACATTATTTGCAACCCATACAACATATACGTTTAGGTAATGCAAGAAATGTTCATCACTATCACAAAGTCTATTTCTCCATTAACCTCACTGATATTTCACATACCATGCAAATGTTTTCTTACCTAATTGAATTACATAATAAAATTCCCACCAGCTTAGATAATCAGTTTCAAAATTTATACCAAGGTACTTATTCCAAGTTCGAAACTTTAACACACCATAAAATCAAACGCGGACTTATAAACCTCGATCAAAACGATTTAGATCTTATTTTGAAAAATCAGAACGCTTTACGAAATAACCAGAATAGCTTGCTTGAAAGTCATCAGAAAACTATCACGTTTTGCAAATCTCTTCAAGAAACTTTTGAAAATAATACAAGAAGAATTCAGTCAATTATTATTCATAATGTCCAAACTATTGAACATCAGTCTTTAATTCATATCTAAATTCACTTTTATTAGTTCTACAATTCAACCAGCAAACAGGTCTCAACACCTTACAATTATCTCATCATCAGATTACCTTACTTATAGAACATTTAAAATCCATTTATAAAGACGAAGAATTATTGCCGTTCGACAAAATACATTTATTTGAGATTTATGATCTTTCCCTTTTATCACTTATACTTTTAGAAAACCAACTTATTTTTGTACTTGAGTTTCCCATTTTAGATGTTAGAACTTATTCCTTATTCAAGTTGTTTTCAATCACAGTCAAAAAAGAATTAGTAAAATTACCAAGTGATTATATTTTATGCTTTGAAAAGTATTATTATTGCAAAAATATTATAGAGTTAAGCAATCAGCTGTATGTTTGCACGAATACTTTCCAGTCGCCATGTCAACCACTTAAGTTAGACACTTGTGAGTCTGAAAGTCTAGTAAACTACACGCGAATCCTAGAATTATTAAGAACAATTATGTAATCGACACTAATGTTTTAACAAAAATCAAGGATTGTAAAGGAATCCATCATATTCATTTTACTACTCACATAATTTTAGAATGTCATACATTTATTAATGATCAAATATCAGAATTTGACTCTAATTATGAAATTGAATTAGAATTATCCTTCAGAGGTGACAACGATAAATATTCATTTAAGAAAACAAACACTTCACTCAAACCTTATTTCGAAAAAAATCTCACTTCACTTCAAGTTCATTTTGAAGATTTACAGTTTCATTCTACTATAAGTTATCCTGTTATTTTTACTACTGTAATTATTTTATTGGTTTTATTTATAACAATTTTTGTTAGATACCGTTATGTAAAGGATACTAAAACTTCACCTCAAAGTAGTGATATTTAAGAAACTTCTCCTTCAAATTAAAAGTTCAAATCATTTTTTGAGATTGGAGACCAATCTTTCCGTGGAGGGAGGAGTTATGGAATCCTGATGATTACCATTTCAACGGTACGGCTAACACCGTCCCGATGTCCTTGTGATTAGCGCCGTCCATCCGGTTTCTAGTTACAGCGTTAGGTGTTATCTTTGTGAGAACATTCATGACTTTGCATTTTGCTATATTTTACTTCTTATAAACTGAATATTAAATGTAACTAGCGTTGTTGTCATCCTGTTTTCATTCAATAAAGTTCCTGCTATAGTTTCGAACAGAAACCACACTGAGTTTCATTTCTTATATAATACCACGGTACATTCGGAATAACTTCTTGTATATGGCTGACACGATTTGCTACAAAACTCTTCCATTTATGTAGAGATGATGTGATCCAATGTAATGCAACCTGTGAATCACAAAATGCAAAAATATCATCTATGATGACTAACGAAGAATAGTTACGAATTACTGAATCTAACGAATCTGCTAAAAGGGTAGATCTAGACGAGGGATTGATTTTGTATGAAGGAGAGCTACTCTTGATTTGTCGACAACTAAGGCTGACTTTATGACGTTTTTTGGGAGTTCGACACGAAGATATACACAACAAGCGTAACCAAGCTCTGAGGCGTCACAAAAACCGAATATACTAAGTGACATATAAATCCGAACACCCAGTTTAAATGGTTTTATTTTAATAAAAAATGGTGAATGTATTTATCTTACTGTAAATAACAAGTGAAAAAATTTTCAGCCTTATCAGTTGGACATTCCGGTTTTTATACTGCTTTTTTTTAATTCACTAACGCTCTAAAAATGAATATTTCAGCCGCAGTAAAGAATCAAAGTTGGCGGATTTTGGTTCTTGACATCCTTTACGATCGGTTACGATGCCTAGACTACGGAGACCTGTAGGATTTCGTCAACTTAGTGAGCTTGATAGGGGCCGTATAGTGGGACTTCGGGAAGCTGGACTTTCTCTTCGGGCAATTGCAGTTAGAGTGCAAAGAAGTGTAGACACTGTGGTTAGGTGTTGTTAGGCATGGCTTCGAGAAGGACGTACGCAAAGAGCAAGGGGCACTGGACGCCGCCGTAGGACAACAGACCGTGAAGATCGCCGCCTAAGATTATTGGCATTAAGGGACCGTTTCTCCACTACCAGGTCCATTGCAAATGACTGGTTTGCAGAACACGGAAGACCTATTGGCATGCAAAGTGTTTACCGACGAATGAGAAGTTTTGGCTTGTTTTCATACCGGCCACACTGGGTCCTCCCTTTACCTCGAGAACACCGACGTAATTGCCTTGAGTGGTGCAGACAACGGTTACTCTGGGATCAGGAATGGAACAGTATTGTCTTTAGTGACGAGTCTCGATTTTGTTTAGGCATGCACGATGGTCGTGCCAGGGTTAGAAGGCGACGTGGCGAAAGGAGGAGTCCACAGTTTTTTGTTGAAAGACATGTTCATCACACTGTTGGAGTTATGGTTTGGGGTGCTATAGCTTATGGTTCCAGGTCACCTTTAATCTTCATCAGAGGTAACATGAACGCGCAGCGTTATATCCACGAAGTTCTAGAACCCCATCTTTTACCCTATCTTGACACCCTGGCAGATCCAACTTTCCAACAAGATAATGCCCGACCACATGTTGCAAGAGTCACGATAGACTTCTTTCAACATAATGATGTCACATTGTTACCATGGCCACCAAGATCTCCCGACTTATCCCCAATTGAGCACGTGTGGGATATGATGGGTAGGAGATTGCTCAATTTGCAACGTCCTCCTCAGACTCTAGAAGCACTTCGAGAGGAGTTGGTGGTTGCCTGGAATGAGATACCACAGGAGGACGTTGACCACCTGATCAGAAGCATGCCTAGGCGCGTTGGAGAATGTGTAGCACATCAGGGTGCATCCACACATTATTAAAGGTCAAAGGGCTTTAAAGCAGTGCAATCATTTTGAAATTTTTATCATTTACTTATTATGCTTCATTAAGTACTTATACAAAATTTTATTAAAATAAAACCATTTAAACTGGGTGTTCGGATTTATATGTCACTTAGTATAGTTGACATCGCTGAAGGTTACTTGAAAATAATTATGTATCTAGGGATGCAAATATTCGAAAGAGTAGTTAATTAGAGTACAGCTTGGTTTTTTAAAAGTCGAGATTTAAGCGACAGAAAGTAACAATAGGCTATTGAATAAGTATCTCCTAAATTGGGAGGGTTTGAATGACGAAAGGGTAGATTGACTATAAAATGACCTGAAGCATCTCGGGTTGTGATCCTTTTGTAAACTTCTTCACATCTGTTCTCATCAGGTGACAGAATTGTTTTGAGTTTGACTGCTTCTAATTCCCAAAACTTCCTAATGGTTGATTCGAGAGAATGTTCACAAGAGACGAAGTAAGAATCAATTTGAAGTTGAGTACCTAGATTTGTGGCACCTAAAAGTACCCAACCGAAGATAGTTTTAATGGCCAAAGGTTGTCCTTGAGGTACTGGGATTCTCCCTAGTTTGGCGATTTCGGCGGAGAGTTCTGCACCTATTAAAAGGTCAATAGGACCGGGAATATGAAATTGATCATCTGCAAGCTTGAGATTTGAAATATAACTCCATGACGAAGGATCAGCTGGAGCTTGAGGCATGGAAGAACTAAGTTTTGATAGGACCAAGACTTGAATTGTGAAAGTAGGTTGACGATGATTGATTTATTTCAAAGATAGAGATCGAGTGTTGGTTCCTTGCTTTGTACAATCGGTTGAGACAAGACTCGCTTATAAAATTTGCTTGACTTCCGCTATCTAGGATTGCTCGAGCTGTTTGGTAATTACCTCGTACGTCAAGGACATCTAGTTTGAGGGTGGATAAAAGAACAGTTCGTCTAGTTGTCGAAGTAGACAGTGATGTACAAAGGTTGCTTAATGGATTAAGTTGTGACGGGTTAGAATAATCTTGAGTCGAGTTTGTAGCGATTTCATTATGACTTGACGAACTTTGGATTAAACTAGGGTTATTTTGACTATAGTCGTAATTGGGATGACAAAGATTTGAATTTAATAGATTTGAATTGGATTGTGCTAACATTAGCTTCGCAGTGACCTGACTTGGATTTGAATCGATAGAATTATGATTTTGACTTTTGATTTTGATTGGGATTTCGATTTTGATTTGGATAATAAGCAACGGTCGATTCTGGCAGATGCAACAAAGTGTGGTGGCGATAACAACAGATTTTGCAATTGAATGTGCTTGCGCAATTTCGTAAAAGATGATTAAAGCGCAAACAGTTTACGCTTGCGTTGTGTTGCTTCACATACGCAAAGCGGTCCGAAGGGATGAAATAGATTGTTGCAGAGTATGCACTTGTTTGACTTTGGATTTTGAGATGAACGGTTTGTGCTGGGTTTGCTCGATTGTGGACTCGCACTTATATAGAAATTGTACAGCAGATTTGATCTGTATGAGCTATTGAGATATTTATTGCTTTTGTTATTATTAAAATTTGGATGATTCAGTTTCGGTTGTTGCCGTCTGGTACTGGGGTTCGTTGGGGAGTCTTGACGAGTTTACTGTATAGTTTCGAGAGCTCTACAATGGTTTGTAAGGAATTCCGTTAGATTTGGGTGTGTCGGGATTTCGGTAGTACTATACCTGATCTCAAAAGCTGTTTTAGTAGTGATCCAATTTTGATAAAACCATAGAAAATTAACAAAAGCACCATAAATGGACTAGAAATACGTGATTTTCGAGTGCAGCGACATTTTCTGAAAATGCATCAATTAATAATCTAACATCTTTGGGTGAATTATTGGATTTTAAAGGATTTGCATTGTAAATCGAGTCCCAGTGGGTACCGGCCAAAAGTCGAACATTTTGATACCTGTTTGTTAGTGTCTTCCAGGCGATTTCGTAATTTGACGCTGTTAGTTTGATTGAGCTCAAAATGCTCTAAGGAACTGAGCAATATATAGGAATCTTTTATATCGGAGTAATTTGGATTGTTATGAACCAATGATAAATAAACATCGCAATGGCCAATGTTTCAGGTTCCCATTGAATGTAGGCGCTTTCAAAGGGCTTAAATCATCGCTACGTGATAGAGCATCATGAATTAGTGGAGTGAGACAGGGCTGTTGACTGGGAGCAGGAAATAAACTACTAAATGTTGCCTTCGTTTTGTGGTAAAACAAATCGGTATCTTTACGAATAACATCGTGTGCCTCAAATTTGGTATCGTCAGTATCATCATCAAGAAGGCCGATGACTTCATTATGTATAGCCTTGAACTGTTCATAATGATCATCTAGTGATTCAAAATACGACTTGAATGTTAATTTGAGAGTATCGTCTGTAGTACGTGCGATTGCTATTTTGCGTTGATTAACCAGCCTTTTCAAAGACATGATTCTGAATATCTAGAATAACACTAATTGTTTATTTTGATTCAAAATTGATAAAAATGATTTGCTTACTATACAAATATCCTGGACCTTGTTTACTCCAAAAGCGTACAGGTTCACAAAAGACACTAAGAACACAACTCGGTTTCATGTATTTGAATACATGTATATATGTTGATGTTCGATAACAATTCTAATAATATTGATATCTAGAATTTTACCAGCTGACAACACAATTTTCCTTTTTTATTCGGACGTGATTTTGCTTACATCCTTTTTTGGGTTATTTACATGAAATAATGGCTCTACGACTGAGCTACGAATTGGGAGCAAGCAAAACTGTGAGAGGGAGCATACAATATGGCGACAATAATTACTTAATCCTTAATTATATTTTCGTGTGAAATTTCGAAAATACCCGAAAAATCCGGTTCGAAGGACCAAAAAATGTTATTGCAACAATGATTCTAAATTGTGGAGAGCTACGAGACTGTAAGCGCGTTCAGATATAATTAAGGTAATTAGGTAATCGACACCCGAGCCATACAAAAACAATGTAGGATTGGCACGTACCTGGGTGTTCCTGTCGCCTGGTCCGAAGGAGCTCCTCTCTCTTCACAGCTTCTTCTTAGGTTCACCACACTTACCTTAGCGAATATATTGTACCCGGTTTAACTAGGATTCTTTGTCGAGGTATTGAAGACGACCGTTGCCTTTTCCGTTCTTTAAGAGATTGACTTCACGAAATCTTCTTCCTCTTGTGCGCATGTTTAGGTGACAATTCATGTCCACAGCGTCCTTGTCAAGTTCTTGGTGGAGTGCGTTGATAATTTCCTCTACCGTAACGGTTTTATACAAGTCTTTTAGCTCTAAGGTCTTGAACGAGGTTAGACTTTTGACTTCGGCCTTTTCCTTTTCAGCCTCTGCCAGAGCCTGGGCAAACTCAGAAGCCTTTCCGCCTATTTTAAGGACAAACAGCATATCATTGTTCCTTGTTCTTCTAATGGACAAGATCTCTGTCTCGGTTTAGGCTGGATTTACTTTAGCCTTCATAGCCTTCAAGATGTCTGCAAAAGACTCTCCTCCTTTCGCAGTGACTTTGATTGCTTCTGACGTTCTGCGCTTACGTGTTCTCTTTGAAGGTGCCGCATTGCCCTCCTTATCCGCTTTATGCTCTTTGCTTGCTGCTTTCTCCTTTCTTTTCTCTTTCTTTTCTCTATTGTTATCATTATTATTATTATTATTTTTTTTTTTTTTTTTTTTAAATCCCACGGCGTCGACTGCTGAGGTCATTTGCCGTATCCCTCCTCCCATATAGGTCATTAATTCTCACCCAGGGGTAGATCTGGGTGCTTCTTTTCGTTTCAGGGAAAGTCTCAATAGCATATTTGATTTATTTGTGTACGTAATATGTATGTTCCTTTCCATCTTTCAGATATTCCTCAGCAGCTGTTTTGTACATTCGTGTACACACATTCGTATTCAGGTAAGATACACAGGTAAGTAAGTACTTTCCTACAACATGTAGTATAGATACTGATCCATATTTGTTTTGTTCCAGGGCATCCCGGATCATAGGTTTCCTATGTGTTGGGTCAATTCGTTATAAAATAAGGTTCGTTCTTCACTTGGAATTACAATTTTCAAATTTTTTTAAATATATTTATATCTTTCAGGTAACCTAAGACTCGCAGGATGTGGGCCTCATCTTTGAAGCACTCGGGTATTGTGTTTGGTATACGATAGCGTTGGCGAGCCTGATAATAGGAAGGACATTCGAGCAGAACGTGTTCTATGGATAGTTGGTAGTTGCATGTTCTGCATCGAGGCGGGGGATTCGCTACGATAAGATGGAGGTGTGTGAGATTTGTATGTCCTATTCGCAAACGCGTTAGGACAACTTGTTCCCGTCTTGATAACGAGGAGGGTAAGTACCACTTGTTGATGTGTTGTTTGTGTACTTTCAATTTATCATTTCCTTGGCTCCAGGTGCGTTGCCATTCATCCAGTATTTTATTTTTCAGGTGTGCTTTGAGATCACTTGGGTGGACAGTGCGGTCTTCTAGTGAAGCTGCCACCTGGGGATTCCGCGCCATTTGGTCCGCAAGTTCGTTGCCACGAATTCCCACGTGTCCTGGTGTCCATACGAAGATGATGTCCTTTCTCCTTAGTTTGAGACCGTGATGTAAGTCTAGCACCATTTGGATCATAGGATCAGTACTGTAGGGTTTTTGAAGTGCTTCTAAAGAGCTCTTGGAATCAGAGCATACAAGGTAGGTACCATCTTCTTTATTTTCTATGTACTGCAACGCTTTTATGATTGCGTAAAGTTCTGCATGATAAACGGATGACATCGGGTTTAGGGAGAAGCTTCGGCCATTTTCACCGTCTGTAAATGCACTTCCTACACTATTTTGAGTTTTCGAGCCATCTGTATAGATAGCGGAGTGGTAGTCGTAGGTATTAATTACGTTTAGGAAGGATTGGACAAAGACAGAAGGGTTAGTTTCGCTTTTCTTATTTGAGGAGCTTTCAAGAAGTACTTTTGGTTGGGAAATACACCAGGGTGGTGTTCTGGAGAAGCCAATAGGGTATACATTTGGAAGGGAATACCCAAGGGTCCTGAGTTGTTCTTGTATTCTTACTCCAATTGGCCTAGTAATAGTTGGTCGATTATGATAAAGCGAGTTTACTTCGTCATTGAAGATAATGCGGTGATTCAGGTGATTTGGTTGTGCCCACACATGGATTGCATAATTTAGTGTTGAAACTTGTATTTTGTATGATAAAGGAGGAATACCAGCATCGCAATATATAGATGTTACGGGGCTTGTCCTGAAAGCTCCTATGCATAGTCGGATTCCCTGGTTATGGACCTTTTCTAAGATTCTGATGTGCGTCTTCCTTGCTGCGGCGAACAAAGACATTCCGTATTCCATTTTAGATAGAACCAATGTTTTGTAGAGGGTTAAAAGTACTTCTCTGTCTGCTCCCCATGATATATTCGATAAGCATCTTATAATATTTGTGGCTCTTTTGCATCTGGTAGCTAGGTCCTGTATGTGTTCCTTCCAGTATAGTTTTTTGTCGAAAATTAGCCCAAGTATTCTAATACTATCGCAGTATCGTATTGGGGTCTCTTTCAGTGTCAATATCGGATCGTCGTGTGACCTTCGTAGTCGACAAAAGTGGATACAAGCTGTTTTAGAGGTGGAAAATTTAAAGCCCATGTTTTCAGCAGAGGTAGCAATCTGGTCAATAGCCCTTTGAAGTGTGTCTTTCAAGTGTTCTAGATCGACGGACGAATAGAATATGGTCATATCGTCTACGTATAGGCAACTGCCAACTTCGGGGTCTACTACTTCCAACAAGCGGTTAATTGCTACTAAGAATAAAGTAACGCTCAGGGTTGAACCCTGAGGTATTCCATTCTCTTGTGTTCGGCTGGTTGAAAAAATATTTCCAGCCCGAACCCTGAAATAACGGTCCTGCATGAAATTATGGATAAATTTTATTAATTCCCCACGTAGGCCCCAATGATACAGCGTGTCAATGATTCCACGCCTCCACGTAGTGTCGTAGGCCTTTTCAATATCGAAGCATACGGCAATCAGGTGCTTACGTTCGGCAAATGCAAGTTGGACAGCCGTATCTAAGTAGACCAATTGGTCAATGGTAGATCTATATTTGCGAAACCCAGATTGGTGGTTGGAAATCTTGTTATTAACCTCCAGCCACCACACAAGCCTTTTATTTATCATTTTCTCAAATAATTTACTAATACAGCTAGTAAGAGAGATCGGTCGGTAGTTGTTTGCATACTTGGGATCTTTACCTACTTTGTGAATAGCGATTACAATTGCTTCCCTCCATTGGGTTGGTAGTGCCCCCTCGGACCAAATCTTATTGTATAGTAGCAGTAACCCATTTTTTTCTGTTTCAGGTAAGTTTCGAAGCATTTCGTAGTTAACCGAATCAGGGCCAGGCGCTGAATTACGTAATTCTTCCAGCGCGTCCGTCATTTCGGTGGATGAGAAAGGTAAATTGTAGTCTGATTTTACTGATTCTTGAAAATTCAATTCTACAGCTTCAACTGTTGTTTTCGTTTCTATGAAGTGTGGTTCATAATTCTGCGTGCTACTGGATTCCTGGAAGTGGGATGCTAGAGCATTGGGTATATCGATAGGATCTGTGACTTCGGTATTATTTACAATTAGTATATTTGGAGGGTTTTGGTAATGTTTGCCTGCAATGGATCTAATTTTACTCCATATTTCATTTGAGGGTGTGTCTTTCGTTATACCAGAAACGTATTGCTCCCAAGATGATTTTTTATTATTTAAAATTAACCTGCGTTCTTTGGCTCTTTGTTTCTTAAAAGCTACCATATTTTCCATAGTTGGGTTTCTTCTAAAAATCCTCAGTAACTCTTTTTTCTCTTCGAGAGCCTGGTATAGCTCATTGCTCCACCATGGCACAGTGCGTCTTCTATTAGAGTTTTGTCTCTTAGGGATACTAGCAATGGCTGCGTTGACGATGGATTCTGTTACTGACCTTGTTGACTCATCAACGTCATTGTTGATTTCGAAAGGAACAATTTTACTCCGGTATAAGTTCCAGTTCGCCTTGTTCATTTGCCAGGTGGGGTGAATGGAGCTTTGAGGAAGATCACCTGCTATCTTGATGCATATAGGTAGGTGGTCGGAGTGTAAGTGGTCCTCGAGAATGTTCCATGTCAGCAAGTGTGCGATATTTGAGCTACACAAAGATAAATCAATGCAAGAGAAGTTTTGGGATCGAGCGTTGAAGAAGGTTCCTTCTCCTGTATTTAGAAGAACGAGCCCTAACTCGTTTATGATCTCTTCTATTCTCTGCCCTCGAGGGTCTAAGGATTGTGATCCCCACAAGGGGTTATGCGCATTGAAATCGCCAACTACAACAAAAGGAGAGGGCAGTTGCATTAATATATCTATCATTTGGTTATAGCTCCAATTTCCATCTGGTAAATAGATATTACAGATTGTAATTTTATTTGGCACCATTGTACGAACTGCAACTGCCTGGAGTGGGGTATTTAAAGGTATTTCTCTAGGGTGTAATTCTTTTTTCATGAAGGTAGCTACTCCACCTCTCGAACGATGTGTTGGGATGACATCTTTCCGGAAGCAGTCAAAGCCTCGCAGGTTGAAATTACTTTCAGGAGCGAAATGTGTCTCCTGGACACAAATACAGGTAGGTGCCTTTTCTGTGATTATCATTTTAAGTTCTGGATAACGATTTATACATCCATTCATGTTCCACTGTATTAAAGTGGTCATTGTTAAGTAATTTGTAATAAAAGGTTTTACACAGAATTACCCACAGACTTTATACACTAGTAATAAATTAGTATAAAATAAAATTTAGGAAAAAAAGTATATACGTGCACAGGTAAATAAATATTATAAAATAGAGTTTAATATACAATTATCACAGAATTCTTATCACTTATGGAGATCTTCTACATTTTGTTCGTCTGGACCCTTGGGCGAGCTAGGGTCCACCAAGCTCTCCCGGGAGTCCTCCCTCGACCTGGTATTTCTTGGCTTGCCTTTCGGCCAGCCTCGTTTCTTCTTTTTGCTCTCAGCACCAGCGCTCGCGAGTGAGCTGTCGGTATCAGGATCGTTTTCTTTATAGTTGACGAAATCTCTTTTCCTTTTTTCGCTAAAAGTTGTGGATGTATCTGAAACCGCTGATACATCCATCTCTTTATTTCGTGTTAAGTGTGCTGGGACTAGGGGTCGTCTGAAGATTACCGGCGTTGTATTTGGTGGCTGAAGTTTCTTAAACTGTTCCTCAATAACTTTCTTGATTAGGGGACCTATCTCATCCATAACAGTTTTTGTGGATTCAGCTTGTTTAGCAGCTACTTGTGCATATGAAACCCTTGGCGTCTGATTCATCACTTTTCGCTTGGCTTCCGCGTAACTCAAAGATTCTAGAGTTTTTGTTCTTTGGATTAGCATTTCTTCCTTGAATTTAGCGCAATTTCTATACCGGGATGAGTGTTCTGAGCCGCAATTAACACATATCTTGGGCTCTGGGCATGGTCCGGTGTGAGGGGCTATACCGCAAACACAAATTTCATCATTCGGACATGATGTCGATAAGTGCCCATATCGCTGGCACTTAAAACACTGCATGGGGTTCGGCACATATGGGCGGACTTCTAGTGCGTAAAAGGCTGCTTTAATTTTCCGTGGTTCTTGGGATCTATTGAATGTTAATATTAGGCTTGACGTCTCAATAAATTTGTCGTCTTTCCTTTTATATATCCGTTTCACCTCGACGACTCCCTCATTTTCAAGTTCCGTTAAGATTTCTTGGATGGAGCAGTTTAATAAATCTGAACATGTGATCACACCTTTGCAAAAGTTTAACGTTCTGTGTGGTTTAACTCTAACAATATGTGGTCCAAGTCGTTCCATTTTCATCAGTCGCTTCGCCTGTGGGTCGGTTGCCGCTTCTAAAATCAATCCTTCTTTCGATTTCTTTATATTTTTTAAATTTCCTACGACTCCTTGCAATTGCTTTGCAATGAGGAAGGGGCTCACTTTACTGAAGTTTTCCCCATCCAACCTTTCCATTACTAGGAACCGAGGGACATGTCCCGCCTTTTCCCAGTTAAACGGATCCTCTCTCCTTGCGGTTTCTCTCCAAGGGGCAGATTCACCTGCTCTTACCGCGTTACATGTTAAGTTGCCCCCCCCAGAATCCGTGGGGCTTTTTATACTACAGGATTCTGAGCTCTCCTGAACTCTACCTGCCTGGGGTACCACTCCTTGTGCGTTGCTTAACATGACCATAATTCCCCTGTGTCGTAGGGGATACACGCCTCTTTAACGTGGAAGACACGGGGCCGTTAGGGACACACTTATGTAGTGCCATCCATCCCCTCAGCACGGCCAACACCTTGGGATTACCGGGCGAAGTGGGGGGCAAGGAGAGAAGGTATGGAAATGACAAGGATGGGTTATGGGTCTACTCGAGCCGACGTGGGGCTGAGAAAAAGGCCGAGGAGTCGGCATATGCCGCCCCCTCCACCAGTCCCACGCCGACCCGAGTGTAAAAAGGATGAAGGTAGTGGACAGATGGTCGGGCGCCGGCTGTACGGTCTTCGACACTACCGTAGCTACAGGACACCACCAGGCGCAGCGACGCTACGAAGGTGGTAATCCTACGGCATGTTCCAGCAACAATCCTGCTAGGTAACGCACAGGAATGCTACAGGAAGACACCGATAGTTGGCCGGACGGCCATTATTATTATTATTATTATTATTATTATTATTCCGTTTTCTGTTAGCTATTCTCTGCTACTGCAGGTGGTATCCTCAAACGCGGCATTATACTGCAAGCGTCTGAGTGTGACTATTGGTTTCTCTTTGTCTATGTGGCTACATTCAGGACCTTGCGTGCTATATGACAACTACCTAAGATAGCAGCTTTCTGAAGCGAGAGGTATAGTTTCTGCGGCAGATTTAGTTTCTCAGTATATTTATGTAGACTCTTAGGTATTTCTCCTGTGGCTCCGATCACTATTGGGATGACTTCAACTTTTCTTGATTCCACAGTGTTTTTACTTCTGCAGCTAGTGGTAAGTACTTGCGAACCTTTTCTGTCTGCTTCTCAGCTATGTTATGTGGGGCAGGCACACTAATGTCAATTATGCAGGTAACTTGCTTCATTTTATCTTGAACTACGATATCTGGTTTGTTGTATTCCATGGTGTGATCTGTTTGAATTGTTCTATTCCAGTATATTTTATGGCTGTTAGTTTCTATAACTGGAGTCGGCTGGTACTTGTAATATGGGGTGCGGTCAGTTAGTATGTTCGCAGCATAACAAATTTCTTGGTGAACTATTTTAGCCACGTTGTCGTGGCGCTTCAGATACTCAGTGGAAGCTAGGGGAGTGCAGCTCGTCAGGATATGCTCTATTGTTTCCGACTTGTTATGGCATATACGACATCTATCTTCAATGCCTTCTTCTTTCATGATGTATTTTCTATAGTTTAAGGTTGGTATCACCTGATCTTGAATGCCAATCATGAAACCTTCAGTTTCCGAAAATAGCTCCCCGCTCTTCAGCCATCCATGTGACGCTTCTGCATCAATGTGATCTGAGCTGAGCATGGCTGGATGTCTTCCATGAAGCTGTTTGGACTTCCATTGATGATACCATTGTTCGTCGGTGGTCACATGGGTTAGAGGTTCATACTGTTCATCCGACAGGTTCAGTGGTGTGAACTTGTAGTCAGCTGAAGCTATATTTCTGTGATATGCAGATGTTTCGCCCTTTCTATAAAAGAATCTCCTGAGGTTTTCTATATTCCGCAGGTTAGCTGCTTTAAGGTCAATCACGCCTCGTCCCCCTTTGGATCTTGGCAAGTAGAATCTTTCGATCGAACTCTTGGGATGTCTTGCTCTATGATTTGTAAATAAGACTCTTATGTTTCTGTTTAGCTGCTCTAAGTCAGAGTCTGTCCACTTGATTATTCCGAAGCTATATGTTATTGTCAGAATAGCATATGTGTTAATGGCCCTTACTTTGTGTATTGCGGACAGATGAGTCTTAAGTATTGATTTGACCCTACTCGTTAATCTTTGCTTTAGAGCTTCTTTCATATCTTTGTGTTTGATACCCCTTGCTTGATCTAGTCCCAAATATGTATAGCTCTCTTTCTCAGACATGCTTCTTATTGTCTGACCCTGCTCCAACATAAACCCTGGGTGATCTTCTTCTATTATTATTATTATTATTATTATTATTATTATTATTATTATTATTATTATTATTATTATTATTATTATTATTATTATTATTATTATTATTATTATTATTATTATTATTATTATTATTATTATTATTATTATTATTATTATTATTATTATTATTATTATTATTATTATTATTATTATTATTATTATTATTATTATTATTATTATTATTATTATTATTATTATTATTATTATTATTATTATTATTATTATTATTATTATTATTATTATTATTATTATTATTATTCCGTTTTCTGTTAGCTATTCTCTGCTACTGCAGGTGGTATCCTCAAACGCGGCATTATACTGCAAGCGTCTGAGTGTGACTATTGGTTTCTCTTTGTCTATGTGGCTACATTCAGGACCTTGCGTGCTATATGACAACTACCTAAGATAGCAGCTTTCTGAAGTGAGAGGTATAGTTTCTGCGGCAGATTTAGTTTCTCAATATATTTATGTAGACTCTTAGGTATTTCTCCTGTGGCTCCGATCACTATTGGGATGACTTCAACTTTTTCTTGATTCCACAGTGTTTTTACTTCTGCAGCTAATGGTAAGTACTTGCGAACCTTTTCTGTCTGCTTGTCAGCTATGTTATGTGGGGCAGGCACACTAATGTCAATTATGCAGGTAACTTGCTTCATTTTATCTTGAACTACGATATCTGGTTTGTTGTATTCCATGGTGTGATCTGTTTGAATTGTTCTATTCCAGTATATTTTATGGCTGTTAGTTTCTATAACTGGAGTCGGCTGGTACTTGTAATATGGGGTGCGGTCAGTTAGTATATTCGCAGCATAACAAATTTCTTGGTGAACTATTTTAGCCACGTTGTCGTGGCGCTTCAGATACTCAGTGGAAGCTAGGGGAGTGCAGCTCGTCAGGATATGCTCTATTGTTTCCGACTTGTTATGGCATATGCGACATCTATCTTCAATGCCTTCTTCTTTCATGATGTATTTTCTATAGTTTAAGGTTGGTATCACCTGATCTTGAATGCCAATCATGAAACCTTCAGTTTCCGAAAATAGCTCCCCACTCTTCAGCCATCCATGTGACGCTTCTGCATCAATGTGATCTGAGCTGAGCATGGCTGGATGTCTTCCATGAAGCTGTTTGGACTTCCATTGATGATACCATTGTTCGTCGGTGGTCACATGGGTTAGAGGTTCATACTCATTATTATTATTATTATTATTATTATTATTATTATTATTATTATTATTATTATTATTATTATTATTATTATTATTATTATTATTATTATTATTATTATTATTATTATTATTATTATTATTATTATTATTATTATTATTATTATTATTATTATTATTATTATTATTATTATATTATTATTATTATTATTATTATATTATTATATATTATTATTATTATTATTATTATTATTATTATTATTCTTAGTTATTATTATTAGTATATTTATTCTTATTATATTATTATTCTTATTATTAGTATTATTATTCTTATTT